AAATGTTCTCCGTAGAATTCCTGAGTAGACCAATTTGATTTTTTCGCACAGAAATTGAATGTCAGTCATTGTGAGTATGTAGCCTAAGGTCCTTGTGACGCCTGTTCAGTTCTGCCAATTTCGCGATAGCTAAAGACAGACTTATTAGTAAAGGACAGTCCAAACCAAAAGATCGAAAGCTGAGTTCATTTGAACGAGTAGGAGAAGCCTAATTCCATCAGCAACATATCCAACGTGAGTTGTTCGTCCAAACTGGATTTGATCACAATTATTACATCATTTTTCTTTGCTTCTTGTGCATTTTCAAATCATTTTAAGCGCATTTTATTGATCATTTTTGGTGATGTTTTAAATCATCAAAATCCACCCCTTACAGTACTTATAATAAAACAAAAAAAAAGTTGAATGTCCCATTTGATGTTCCATTGTTTGGTGCATTTTTCCTGCTGTCTTTTGTTTCATTTTTTTAAAAAAAAATTATCTTTCATATGATAGTAGTGCTCGAGATTTGTATATTTATGTTCTAACAATAAAGATTTTGTTTAACAGAGTGTTGAAAAAAAAAACCTTTAACCCTTTGGAAGTAAACAGAAGGCATTAAAAATTATCCAAATATTTTAATTTTTGTTTGTTTAATTATTTCTTTGGCTGGTTGAAACAATATTTTTTTCTTACTGTTTTTTCTTTAACAGTTTTAAACAAGAGAAAACCTATTATAATATCAGCTGTTCTGGCCAGCTTATTCCATGCTCAGGTGAGATGGGCAAGAAAATGCATAGGGAAAAAATAATTAAAAAATCCAACAGTTAAACATAAAATTTAGATATTTAACTTCAAGAGAGGATGAACTAAAATAAAATTTTAAACAATTGACATGGTAGCAAGATCATGGTTTTGCCTACATTAGAGTTCAGTTAGTAAACATTTTACGATTCATTTGACAGTTTGACTAATTGTAAACCATGTTCGATTACTAGCTGATGCACACTAATGTGTAGTTTGTTGACACTTTTGGGGTCACCTATTGCCGCACTCCAGGCCGGTAGACCACTGGAACGGCCACTGTGGGAAAATCCAGACCCTCTTCAAAAAACGCCATGTAAGGGCCCTAAATAAAAATTGTACAGATGTCTATATTATTATTTCTTACATTTGATTATACTGATATATTTAGTTAACACATGTTGATTTTGATGCTCCACTGTTCAAAATGGCTCTAAATCCACCATCCTGAATTCGTGGTGACTTAGAATCTGACATAATACACACTCTGCACAGTATGCACATTTTAATTTTGAAAATGTATGATCTTGCCAAATTTGGAGAAGATAAGGTATGATAAATATTAAGTGAATTTAATAAACATTTAGATGATAAAAATTACAGGATACATTGCACTTGATTAACCCACTTCAGCTTCTTGGGCTCCGAAGCTTTTTATCTTTTGAACGTTTTCTTTGTTCATGAAAACTCTTATTAATCTGTCTAACAGTTACGGCATAACTAAGCTGCCCAGTGTGTGAGGTGAAATATTGTAGTATCGCTGTGATTCTCACTGTGAACTGAGACCACCTCCAAACTTTCTCTTAAAATTTTTTGTCCATGAAGTGCTTAATACACAGTATCAGGTGTAATAAATGACAGTTTGCAACTTTTTGTTTTTTCAAAAATTACACAAAATCTATTTTTTTTATGTCTTTCATGTTGTTGGTATTTACATTATATTCATTTCCTACACATTATCACATTTGTAAATACAATTGCTTCAAGTAATTGCTAATGAAGTTTCTTGAGAATCTCAAAAGTTTTGGATGAAAATGGGCTTTAAAATATGCATTTTCAGAAATGCTTAAATGATATTTTCTCAAAACTTGCTCCAACTTTTTCAGCAAAATTTGCAAATGGGTTGGGTTTTACTCTTTGATAATATTCTGAAAGTCATGTTTCAGTTCTATCGTTAGGGGATCGAAAAATTGAGAAAATGTATCTGCCAATAGATGGCAGCTGAGAAGAAAAAAATCCAGACTAGAGAGACTAACGAGTTTGAAATGTGTCTGACTGTGCCATTCTGTAGCACCACTAGTTGAGTCAAAAATATTAATTTTTTTATAGATAAATATGTCTGTGTTCAGGTTGAGGGAGTTCAGTCATGTGTTTGTAGAAACTTGCAAATATAATTTCATGTCATCATTGTTAATCAAATAATATTACAAAACTATTGATTTCATTGCATTTTAATTGATTGCAGATTTGGTTATTCGTGACTCCCTATGTAACATAATTCTGCTTTCAAAAAAAAAATTTATCACCCTTTACTTTTTGCTGTTTTATTTCACTCGTGCAAATATCTGTGCATGCAAATATTCATGAAAAAATTCAGATACATTTTCGATGTTACTAATGTTTATTTTTCCTGTTCTAGTGAATGGTGATCCGTATATTATGGATGAACGGGATCCTTTAAACAGTTGTGCAATGGAAAGTTCACTATGGGAAATTCAGTCATTACAAAATCACATTCTTCCAAGCATAGCAACTGCTGCTAGATTTATCAATTCTCCTTTGCCATCAGTTGAGTGGGATTTGACAAAAATTCTTGAGCAGACTCCGGATGATGTAAGTTGAAATTGAACAAATATCTACCAAAGTGAAAATTTACCTTTAATAACTACCTAAGTATTTGTTAAAATATACAGTAATAATCATGCACAGTTCTGTTTTACATACATCACAGTTTTTAAATGTTTCACCATTAAATAAATACATAAATTAAAAAATCTGAAAATTGCGCAACACTACAATGCGAAAGCGTATGTGTTGAAGAGAGTAATTGTTATAATATAAAGTTAAAAAAGTGAGAGGAAGGCATGGTAAAGGAAATAGAAGTAAAATCATGTTTCATGTTTCAAAAAAAAGGGCTGAATGTAATTTTTTCAATTTTCATTATTCATCAAGTTCACAAATTAAAGCTCAACAAAAACTCAGTGTTCTTAATTGATCATTGATAATCTGAATTTTATGGAACCTTCATTTATATGTTTAACTCTTTCAGTCATCATAAAATTTTGATATATGTTAAATACCGAGTGAGAGGTAAAAATCATTTTGAAAAATCACCCACATTGAAAGTTAAAATGAGAATCGTCTTGTATTCACTGTGGCTACACTAGGTGAGAGTGTGAAATTTTGCAAACAAGGACTCTAGGAAAATGTTATAGGTTATTTAATTACTGTTTTTGTCCAAATAAAAAGAGTTTCTTCCTAAATGTCTCATTCAAAAAATGAGGGGTCATCTTATATTTGGTGATGAAGCCTAGTTGGTTGGGATGAAAGTTGAATGCTGATGTAACAAAACCTGTAAAGATAATGAAAACTATTTATATGTATAATATATCATGTTCGTGGATGTATTCACCATGGAAGTCCAAGTTTGATTCCCAGACAATCTCAAGTGCAGTTTGTTCTGACAAAATGAGTTCGCGTGCTTCACAGGGGCTAGTCCAACCCATGTGATGCATCATAAACCCTCTCCCTTTCTTATTTCCTCCCTAATTCTGACCACCAGTTAGTGACACAGGGGCACATATGGGAGGAGTGTCTCCAGAAATTCTTAGGAGTTAGGAAGAAGTGCTTCAGTAGGAAGAAGCAACAAATGATAATAATAATGATAATAATAATAATAATAATATAATAATAATAATAATAATAAATAATAATTAATAATAATATAATAATATATAATAACATGATAAATAAGAGAATATAATGATGATAATAATATGATGATAATAATTGATGATAATAGAGAAATACGATGATATAATAATATAATGAATAATAATATGATAATAATGGAATGATAATAATAAATAATATATAAAAATATATAATAAAGCAATAACTAAATAATAAAAAATAATAAAAAAATAATAATAAAAATAATAAAAAAATTAAAAAAAACCACAACACACCCTCTTGCTACACCTAAAGGTGTATTACCTTTTATACTTCTGATAAATGTTTTTATTTGGATTTCATCTTGTGAAATAAAGTTAACTCTTTACATCAAACTCAACTACAATTTTGGAAGATTTACTTACTCACTGGTTCTTATGCATCAAATACTTCAACAAATTTGACACTGATCGATTATTCAACAATAAATTTACAATGATCTGGGGATATTTATTTACTAGCTGATTCATTCACATTCAACAGTCACAGTGTATTACGTAAATCATGATTGTTCAAAACCCTGAAAATAAATTTCATAAACAATGCTTCACTGAAATAGTTTGTGAAATAATTTAGTTTTGGCAACAATAAAAAAATTTGTGAGCCAACACAAATGTGATTGGACAAATGTGTCAATATAATGAACGTGTAATTTAAGCTTGTACTCTAAAACGGTGGCGATTGCTGCAGTGATTGATATTCGGATGAAATTATTTAGCTTTCAGGATTGGCCGTTTTTTTTTGTTTTTTTTACCAGATCAGTGATTTTAGATTGAATGTAATGAAAGATATGCTCTAAAGATACGAAACATTTGAGCCCTTCTCAGGACATTGCTCTGTTATTTTCTTTGCCTATTTGATCGTAATAAAATTTATTTTTATTTGGTTTTCAGATATTTGTTAGAGAGCTCAAGAAGAAAGCTAAGGAAATTGCTTTGACGTTTGATAAACCAACATCAATGGAAGTGCCAGGAGGGGAAAGGCTGACCCATTATTGGAATTTTTAGTGAAATGTTTACTAACTCGTACATTCTGTATACGTATTGTCATATAATTCTGTGATGTACATAATTGTCTTTTTTTAACTGTAAATGTTTGTTTTATGTATTTTGTGTTTTTGTTGTTTATACAAACCAAGTCTTCTCTAATAAATCCAGCCCTTTCATGTAAGAATATTTTCTTACTTTATGCTACCTATCGTTTTCAAAATAATCCACAGAGATGAAATTCATCTTCAACCCTGCTAGTGATACTGACATAGTGTCATGCAAAGGTAAGTTGGAATGACAAATGATCGTTAACATTTCTAAAAAACGGATTAATAACCCTATTAAAATAGAATTATTTTTCTAAAATAGGGGGATGGGAACAGCCCTAGATATGGCTTAGAATCTTGGATTGCCGGAAATACAAGTAATTTGTCCTGTGCGGGACGTTTCTGACATAAGATGTCGGCCAATGTCAAAGAATTTCGATATATGGGAAGGTTCCATCAATTCACATGCATAGCAACTATTTGTCATGTATGTAATATTGTATGAACAATGCTTACTTAAGCTTATTAATTTGATAAAAATCACGTCTCAAATCGGGCGCCTGTATTGATGAGAATGTAGAGAATAAAAATTAAATGGAGACAATTAACATGGCATTCAAGAGGCCGTGATTCTCGCTTTGTTAATTCCAGATGGCGTTGTAGTCTGTTCTTTTACGAAGAACGTCAAGCGTGGCTAATCAAGGTAGGAAGAGGTAAGAACATTTTACGGATTTTTTAGAAATAGTAAGGTTGAAAATCTTAATAAAAAGTCCGTGTAATTATGATTGATAAAATATCGTTTTTGTGAGGACATTTAAGAAGTTAGCAGGTGTAGTAAGACTCGTATTTCGAGTTTTCATCACGAGGGCCGTTGGAGTATAGTTTCAAATTTGGCATTTATTTTACATTACTGTTTTTATAATTGTCTGTGAATGGTATGCCACAGGAATGTACACCATGAGTGATTTTATTCCATTACACGATTACTAAAAACAAGTATGAGAAGAAACATGACTAATATTTTTCTGCCCTAACCTTAGTGCGGCAACACGACAGCACGTTACAAACATTGTCAGCTTCTATTAACTTCATTGGCGCCAGAAGTGAATCGTTGCGTGTGTAAATAATTAAGCCATAATTAATTGTATTTGCGCGCATATGGCCCTTGATTTTGTGAACAGCGTTATGTAATTTATTTAATCCTTATTTTTAGGAAAATGAGCAGTTCTGAGGAGGTGTCGTGGATTTCATGGTTCTGCGGCCTTCGAGGAAATGAGTTCTTCTGTGAAGTAAGTGCGGAATGTCAATGCTATATTTCTCCCAGTATTTAATTTCATATATTATGGCCAAGTTCATAGTGCAGGCAAGCTTTTTGAATTCAGGAACATAAAGTAGTTTTGAGTTCTAAAGTGTTTTATTAGTAAAATATGCATCAAAGCAGTTGGAAGTGCTATGTACCATGGACATTGATTGATTATTAGTGTTGGAATATAGTTGATTCGTGGTTGAATGGTGAACCTATTTTGGTCTGGTGAAATGCATTAGAAACATCTGACATTAAAGTCATAGAGGACGAGTGTATTGTGATTAAACATGCAAGGAAACTTATACATACAGCAAAATTGACCTCAAAAGGTGCAGAGTATACTTTTTTTTGTGAAAATTGTAATATGTTAATGTACAACAGATTTTAGATTAACAAACCATGTAATATTTTGTTAGTTATTTAGCTTTTCTAAAGTGCGTACCTTTTTTGGTAAATGCTGTATTATAAACAATGCTGTGCATACGAATTATCATAAAATTTAATATTAAATTGGTAGATTCTGGGGACATTGTGTGGAATTCCATGATTTTCATGATTTGGAGAAAAGCGATGTTCCGCAATGTAGGTATTATGTAATATATTAATTTCGTATATTAGCCAGCTATGATTTAGGGATTATTTCTCCATTTGTCAGTTTGTTTACAGCTAAAACCAAGTAAGCTGGAACAAATAGCATTTTTTTTAAATTGTCAAAATTTAAGATATATTTTTAAATATTCAATTTCTTCCATGTTAAGTAGCTTATGCTGTAAAAACTTTGATGGGTAAATTATTCTTGAAATATGTGTGGCTAATATTTGAAACAAATATATTATTGTTTAATTCTTACATTGTGAGAGATTCATAAATTTTCCACACTTTCAACAACTTATTACTTACAAATTAAGACTACTAAACATATGCCCTTCTCTAAATTATGGGCATTTATTGATGGAGATGGGTTCTTGAAATATTCTTGTAAACACAGCTCAAATTGGTTAAGATCTGGAATCTATAAAGGACCTTCAGGATCCAGAGATTTCTGAATGTGGCTTCTTTCGTTGCCAAAAAGCTTCTGTTAATTATGTCTAATCTTGCAAATGCTTTATTTTTAATTCTGGCATTTTCCTTAGTAGTTTTCTATAGTTGTTTAAAATTACTTTCCATTTGTATATAATATGCTAAGGAAAGATGATGGTTATTAACATTTTATGAAAAACATCAGCTCTATGCACTGTTAGTGAATCATTGCTGGATAGGGGATTTCTCCTAGTTCTGCATCAAAGAGATTTAATAAGCAAAATATGAAGTTCAGTTATTTCGTCATATGCAACTCACAACACACTTTACAATTGTGCATAACTCGGAAACAATACATCTTGGGGTCTTAAAATAATGTTTTTGCGGCCTTGTAATAGGCAAGCTTTCAATTTGTATGAGGTAATCTACTAAATTAGACATCTTTCGGCATTGTGTGTTCGGTTGGTTCCCTTGCCCAGTAAAATGGGTTGCCAATTCACTGGAAGTTTGATTCTAGTAGAAAGCTTTATTCATTTTGAATACAATAATTTATTAAGTGTGGAATTTTTGCATGGGTTGTGATAGATTCTAATTGAAAGTTTTTAAGTAATGTTGTAGAAGTAGCTTCAGAAATTTTGATAATTTAACATGTTTCATCCCCCTCCCCTGTCAAATAATTGTGCCCAATTCTAAAAGAACTGTCCTTAGAAATTCTGTTGTAATTATTTATTTAGGTTTTTGTAAGTTTTTATTTGTAGTTGTCCCAATTTTTATTTTTCTCACCTAAATGGAGTTATTGGAATGAAATTAATTTAATACTTGTTACTTATGTGCCTGCAGCAGTGAAATTTTGATGAAAAATCAACAAAATATCTATTTTGTTTTATGTGTTTATTATTATTTCCGTGACTTGTACTTTAGCGTTGTTAGGTAATTTTTGGAATTTGTGACATATTCATAGTGTAATGCAATTGTTTAAAGGTTTGTGTATCAGTAAGTGTAGTCCCTTCAAGGGTGAAAACTGTAATTTCCTTGGTTTTTTTCTGTGGTCCTGATTAATATTTGCGAATTACAAACGATTTTGCTAATGTTCAAAGCTTATTGCCAAACACCCTAAGACAGGTTTACATTAGAGAGCTAAGAATGTTACTCTAGATAAAAAATAACTAGGCAATCTAAGAGTAGAGCTTCAAAATACTTTCTCTCCTACACAAATTTTTCAGCATTTTCGTATTCTCAAAATACTCTTTGCGTAAAGAGATGTGGAGATGTAAAGAGATGAGCAGATAAAACAATTTTTTGATGTAATGTAATGTTCATATAAATAAATCTTGTATTGGAACCTTGCTTTAAAAATCAAAGAAAAATAGTGAAGTAGTATTTCTAATTTAAAAAAATGAACCAATAAGCATAATTAAACAACTCAATAGGTTTGTTTATTGTCGTCTTATGGAACAAAAATAAAATTTGGAGAGATTATGGCTTGCAGATTTATGGAGCCTTTTGACAAAATGGCTATCAAAGAGTTAATCAAAGAGTTCAAATTTAGCATGTAATGGAACAATTGTGTTATTAAAGTTTATGCATAATTCCAAATTAATAGATAATGAATTGTCAATTTTAGCATTCTCGGTAATGCATTACCTTAATAATGGAAATAAAGTTACTTATGTAAATAATAAATATAAAATCTTATTGAGAGTATTTTGTAAGTTAGCTGGGGGATATTACGTTTATTAATCACATTCACATTGGCCATAAGTCTGCTTTGGAACCACAAGTTAAAATCAAGAATAATTTTTAACCATGTATGCTTTATATGTTTCTAAGTATGATAAAACAATTTAATATATTTTACATTAAAAAATAAATTTATGATTATAAACATGGATTTAAATTGAAAAAATCAGATTTAAAATCTTAAATTTTGATGTTAAAAAACCATAACAAATGCAGTCTCCAAGATGGGACACAAATCTTCAACCTATTGATCTGAGGTAGTTATAATGTTCCAGTCTTCGTAACCTTGATTATGCTGGATAGACTTCATGTTTGTTATTTTTATATATGACAAATAAGGCACTATTTTGCCTTTAATTATGCGAGGCAAATTAAATTCAAAATACTGCAATAAATATAATTATAATATTTTAATTTTTTAATCAAAAGAAATAATTTATTCAACCTATTCCTTTCATTTTGATTTCTTTTTCTCAACTTCAATTTCCTTTCATTCTCGTTTTTACTATTCTCTCTCTTTCTCCTTTACTGATGTGAAATTACAATTTACTGATGTGAAATTTAGACTAAGAATTTTTTATAGGATGCAAGGTACAGAGAGATTCACTTCAAGAGGGTATTTCCGTTCCTAAAAAAATTTTTATGTTCTTTGCTGAATTTAAAGAGTCTCCTCTTCCTTTTAAGTTGCAGTATGTACCATTTCTTAATTACCATAATTCTAGTGAAAAATTCAGAAATCTGTGGTAATATAATGATAACAATTCAATGATATTAGTATATGATTATGGGTTGAGAAAAACTTCTTTGTTATCAAAAGCACCTGAGAAGTTATTGGCATGTCATCATTTTTATGGAGTTGCCGAGTAGAGAACAATTGGGTCAAAGAACCTTTTCAAACTCATATGATTGTAATACAGCTGTCAAGGTCTTTGATACTACAGAGCTTTTTTGTTTGATAGTTTCGATTTAGATTTGAAAGCATATTTTATAAACTTGCTGTATAAAACTGTTGCAAAAATCTAAAATTATAGGTTTTGATTAACCATGATTTAACAGTGATTTTGGTTGACTTGAGAAAACTGTTCAAATTAATTTTTCATGTCAATGCTGTATTATGAAAAAGAATTGGGTACTATAGTCTTTGCTACTACTGGTTTTCTGAAATCTTCATTATATCATTTGGGCTCTAGGTATGAAAATGAACTTTCCTATTCAATGTCGATTCATCTTCTAATTTTTTATTAGAATTAACTTCCTTTTGCCCTCAAATTTTGAAAGTATTCTATATACTATGAATTTTTCGTTTCTTGGCAGCCTCGAGACATATGGTGTAGATAACATACTCCTTAATTCACAAAATTATATGATGAAATGTTCCATATGTTAAGTGGTTTCCAAACTTATCATAGGACTAGTCAGGTTTTTTGATGGTAATGGGAGAAAGGCAATGGTAATCTCGCTGTTCATTCTGACCCTCTTTTGGTCACATTCTTCTGTTTTCTTTGGTATTAGGATCCTTTCGCAACCTTCGAAATTTGGCTCTGGAGAAATGCAGTGCAAAAGCATTGTCATTTCATGTTGCTTGGGTGTGGTTACAAAATGGTAACTTTGTGGTCCTGAAACTTCACTTGTAATTTTGAAAAGTCCGATTTAGTAGTTCATGGACAAATATTCGAAAGCATTGTGATGTATTTTCTTCAGTTTATAATTGGTTCCCTTTTTGCTCATATACTTGTCTTTAATTAACTTACTCAGTGTCTTGCTCTCAGAGATTCTTTGGAACGTCACCATTCTCTGGTATGATTTCTGAACTTAATAATTGTAGCATCATGATTACTTGCTGAAAGTTGACCAAAATGCTTTTGTGCTTTTTTACATTTTATGACATTTAACAATAGGATAACTTAATTACTTCTGGAGTTGTTTTAGTAGATTTTTATTTGCTTTACGTTCTTTCTCTGCCTTTTTCGTTTTCTCTCCTTTGTTCTTTTTCTTGTTTCTTCTTGCCTTTTTTCTTTTTCTTCTTTCTCTGCTTTCTTTTCTTTTCTTTCTTCTCTTCTTCTTCTTTCTCTCAACTTCTTCTTTTTCTCTTCGGTATTTCTCTCTCTTTCTTTTCTTTTCTTCTTCTTTCTCTTTCTTCCTTTCTTCTTCTTTCTCCGTTCCTTCGCTTTTCTTCTTTCTTTCTCTTCTCTTTCTTCCTCTTCTTTCTTTCTCTCCTTTTCGTTCTTCTCTCCTTTCTTCTTTCCCTCCTTTTCTTTTCTTCCTCCCTTTTTCTTTCTTCTCTTTTCTTTCTTTCTCTCCTTTTCTTTCTTTCTCTCCTTTTCTTTCTTCTCTCCTTCTTTCTTTCTCTCCTTTCTTCTCTCTCTGTTCTTCTTTCTCTTCCTTTCTTCTTTCCTCAAGTTTCCTGTTTCTTTGTACTTGTATCGATCAAGCTGAAATATACCTCAAGCACAGAGAAATAAGAATGTTTTCATGTTTTGTTTTGGAAAGCACAGGGGTTGAATTAAAATTCAAATAGAAAGGAAATTTACCCAGTAAAAGATTTTTGCATGATGCCGACCAAGATTTGTTCGTCTCACAAAGAATCCCATCCTTCTTTTGAGTATGCCTCTGATGCTTTTGAGGACATCTCCTGAATATAAATATAGTCTTCTCTCTCAAAGCTGGGTGATTACACAAATGTGAAAAAAAGAAAAAATAGTTTGTTTTTACCCATTCCTTTCAATAATTAGTAGAGTCAAACAATTAATACTTCGAAGAACAGCGTGGCTATCATTAGCAGGGAGGGTCATTGTTCCGAATTAAAGAAATTAGAAAGTAAATTCTTCCCTAACATGTTAAATGCTAATGCAGATTTTAGATTAGATTAAAACAGTACACCAGTTCTTTTTAAATGTGATTCGATGTACTTCTTTTCCTCTTATAATGCTTTTCACACAGTAGACTGCCTTTTTGCACCCCTACTTATTTAGAATAAATCCTTTTTGCACCACTAGTAAAATGCCTTCTACCTTGTTTATTTAGAATAAAGCCTTTTTGCGACTTCCAGCTTTATTAGAATAAATCCTTTTTTGCACCCCTAGCTTTAGTTAGAATAAATGCCTTTTGCATCCCAAGAACTTGTTTGCACCTAGTTTAGTTAAATAAATGCCTTTTTGCGCTCCTAGTTTGAATAAAGTTCAGCCTATAGAATTAAATTAGAATACTACTATAAAAATCCTTTTGCATCCCCTAGTTTATTAGTAATAAAAATGCCTCTTTTGACCCTAGCTTATTATATAAATGCCTTTTTGCCTACTTAGTTTATAGAATAAATGCTTCTTTTGCGCTCCTAGTTTGTTAGTTAAATAAAATGCCTTTTGCCGCTCCAGTTTATTAGAAAAATGCTTTTGCGCTCCTAGTTTAGTTAGAATAAATGCCTTTGTTTGCCCCCTCTAGTTTAGTTAGAATAAATGCCTTTTTGCACCCTCTAGTTTATTAGAATAAATTGCCGTTTTGCACCCCTAGTTTAGTTAGAATAAATGCCCTTTGTTGCACCCTAGTTATAGATAAATCTTTTGCCCTAGTTGTTAATAATGCTTTTGCCCCTAGTTTAGTTAGAATAAATGCCTTTTTCGCTCCTAGTTTAGTTAGAATAAATGCCTTTTTGCGCCCTAGTTATTAGAATAAATGCCTTTTGCCGGCTCCTAGTTTAGTTAGAATAAATGCCTTTTTGCGCTCCTAGTTTAGTTAGAATAAATGCCTTTGTCTGCCTATTTTAGGTAAAATAAGTGCTTGAGCCTCTGGGCTTGAATGATATTGATATGAGGATAAGCAAGGTATCACTGTGTATTTATATAAATTTATGTTAATATCTTTTGCATTTAATTTTATTTTTCATGTGATGAAAAGATTTTTATGTAACCTTTTTTGTTGCAAGTATAAAAAATTTCAATTAATTTTTGATCTTGAAATGCTTATAAAAGATTGCATTGTACATGGTGGTGTTAAACATATTTTCAAAAATTAATTGCCTATCTGAGGTTGTATTTGAATTTGGAGGACTATGGAATGAAAATTATGAATGTAATAGTGTGTATGTTGTTTTGTTTTCACTACTTTCTGGAAATTCATTGTATGGGATTTCAGTGAACATTGGTGAGTGTGCATGTATTTGTGTGCCAAAAGAAAAATGTCTTCAGTCTGAAAGAAGATTGTTCTCAGGAGTGCCAGTTGTATCTCACACCAATAAAAATAATAAAAAAGAAGGCTTTGGCCTTGCTCTAGCAATCGCCAGTTGGAATTTTGTAATTTGTTAAGCACAGAGAGCAAAGGATGGTTCTACACTCTATGGGAATGTTATTAACCTAAAATGATAATTTTTTACTTTTGTAGTTTATCGCTCTGTGATAATTTATTTTCATCAAGATTGCAAATAACATATCTTAAATATTGCATTCTTTCATATTTTAAAAATGTTGTTTGTGTAATATATTAAAATATTGATAACCTGTTTGGCCCCAAAGTTAGAAGTATGTTAAATTACATTCTCTTTTCTGTTCTGGGGATTCTTTTAGAGCTGTTTTTAGAAGCCTATGATCTCTTGTTTCGTTCTGAATTACTCTTTAATTTTTGTCTGGAAAAGAGGGTGAGAAAGACATCTATTGTCAAGTTTGACCATTATTTATTCCAAATATCAAGTAGGAGAAGAAGGATTAAAAGGGCAAGGAGAGGGAAAAATGAATTATTGTTGGCCAAGACTATTAACATATTGTTTTCAAGACTGACCTATAGAATTGTTGGGCACCTTCATGAATATTGTGATCAGGAGAGCTTTGATTGCCTAAATTCTAAATCTGTTGATCTACGCTTTCAGCCTTGAATCCTTCATAAATTAATCATTGGATAACCTACCCGAGTCTGTTCATCTGTCTACCAATTATGGTGATGCCCCTGCTGGTCCAGTGTTTGGGGCAAGGACAGTCATTTGTTTTATCTTGTTTTGCTGCTGTAATAGGTACTTTCTGGTTCACTGTTCGGAGCAAGCAAGGTGTCATGTTATATTACATGACACCTTGCTTGCTCCGAACAGTGAACCAGAAAGGACCTATATATTTGTTTGTTGGTGGGAATCTGGGAAGTTTGTTGTTTTTGTTTGTTTGTTTGTTTTTTTCCTCCATATCATTCTAATTGAATTAAAATCACTCAGATTCATAAGTATGGAAATCCTTTTAAAACTAAAGCATTAGAAATGCCACACTTAGGGAGTTTTGAGAGAGGTTGGAAACTTTGATGGGGATGTGCAAAGTAATTGGAACCCTGGGGGATAGTTGCCACTCATTTCAAAGAATGATGTTTGAGAAGGAGAAATACTGGACTTAGTCATTTTTTTTGTTAAAATAATAATATTTCAGGTCCTTCACAGTATCACAGTTCGATTGATGAACAATTTATTCAGAATATCTGGTTCATTACATACAATACATGTGTGGAGTATTCTAGCAAAGTTGATGTGCTTTGAAATAGTTTGTTTTGTAATGTTCATCTTCCTGTGATATTAGTGCATTGTGTGTACTGAATGAAGGTGGAATACCATCTCTTTTTTTTTTTTTTTTTACTTTTCATTTTAGTGGAATATCACAGAAAGATGGTTCTGTATTAGAAATATGTAATTATTTTCTACTAGCACTTATTTTAATATCAACATGATCTATCTTTGAAGCAATTAGTATTTCATTTTCTGTTTATGCCAAAATTGTGAAGGATTTGTTCCTTTTCTTTAAATGTATTTCTATAATTTGTTTTAGGTTGATGAAGATTACATTCAAGATAAATTCAATTTGACAGGGCTTAATGAACAAGTTCCTCACTACCGACAAGCACTGGATATGATTTTGGATTTAGAACCAGGTGAAATATAATGTTTTTCAATTTGACACTCTCCCTCTGTCTCTCTCCCACTGTCTCTCCCTCTCTCTCCCACTGTCTCTCCCTCTCTCTCCCACTGTCTCTCCCT